AAGCAACTATATGTTCATTCGAAGAAATGTCACTTCATGACAAGTCAAGTATGTTTTCTGAGTTATATCGTGTCTGTTGTAGGCATACAGCTGGATCCTATAAAGATAGAGGTCATTATCAGCTGCGTCATACCATAATCATTCACCGAATTGAGGCAATTCTTGGGGCTGACATCCTTCTATCAAAGATTTATCAGAAACTTCAATATTATCACCTCTCCTCTAACGGAACTTGTAAAAAAGAAAGAATTTAATTAGACAGCAGCAACCCATGACACTTGACATACTAAAAGATAAGATAACTCGGGCACTTGTGCTAGCCCTACCTGACTTCAGCCAACTTTTCGAGGTAGAATGTGATGCCTCTGACGTGGGGATCGGAGCAGTACTAAGCCAAGGAAGACACCCCATCACTTTCTTCAATGAAAAATTGAGCGAGACCAATACTCAACCTACGACAAGGAATTCTACATCATCGTGAGAGTTCTGGAACACTGGAGTCATTTTCAGTTGACAAACGAGTTTACACTATTTACAAATCACAATACCCAAAAATTCCTCAACAGTAAGAGCAAACTAAAAGGACGACACGCCACCTGGGTGAAAATTCTAGCCTCTTTCCAGTTTAAGTTAAAACACAAGCAAATGCACTGAGTCCTAAAGACCTATTAATAGCATCCATACATGCTCGAGTTGTGGGCTTCAAGTCATAAAGGAACCATATGAAACAGATAAAGATTTCAAAAACATATGGGAGCAGTGTCATAAAAAGCCAGCAAGGCAATATTACCGCACAGATGGATACCGGAGTCAGTTATGCATCCTCTGATGTTTACTAAGATAGGCCATCATCCAGGAAGGCCACATTGGAGGACTAGCAGAGCATTTCGGAAGAGACAAAACCCTCTCCCTCATATGAGAACACTTTATTTGGCCAAAACTAACAATAGATGTAGAACAACATGTCAAGCAATGCAAGATTTGTCATCTAGACAAGACAAGTGCTCAGAATGGCGGATTATACACACCACTTCCAATACTAGAGGCATCGTGGGTGGGTGTCAACATGGATTTTGTGCTAGGACTTCCAATAACTCAAATGAACAAAGATTTCGTAATGGTTGTAGTAGACAGACAATCCAAGAAGGCCCACTTTGTACCATGTCGCTTGACACTAGACGCCTCTAACATCGTTGATGGGAGATTGTAAGGCTGCATTAAATTACCAAGGCCACCACCTCCGACAGAGACGGCAAATTCCTGAGCCACTTTTGGAGGACACTGGGAAAGCTCGACACCAAACTCCAATTCAGCTTGGCACCACATCCACAAACAGACAGACATACAAAGGTAGTAAAACAGAGCCTCAATAATTTCCTCAAGTGTTTCGTGGGAAAAACATAAAATAGTAGGATCTTATAATAGCCCAAGCTGAGTTCGTCTATAATCGATCCATCAACCAAACTATAGGACAAAGTCCCTTCGAGATTCTATATGGGTGCAATCCGCTCACGCCACTTAAATTGGTACCACTCCTGCCATCTTCGAAAACCAGCAAGGATGTCACAGAACGAGTTCACAAGAACCAGAAGCTCGACGAAGAAGTTGGCAAGGAAATTGCTAAGTAGAATCGAAAATATCAGGCATAAACAAATACATCCAGAAAGAAAGTAACGTTTCAGAAAGGTGACCTCGTATGGATTCTGTTGAAAAAGGAGAGATTTCCTACATGTTCATTTGGAAAGCTTAAACCGAAAGCAGATGAACCTTTCAGAATACTACAGAAGATAAACAATAATGTATCTAAAATTGACCTGCCTGGGAACTACAACATTTCAACTACATCCAACGTCGCCGGCTTAGCACCATACTTTGAAGAGCCTAGAACTTCGACAAACGAGGTCGAAGCTTCTCCAACCCCGGGAGACTAATGTGGAAGCTGTATGCACCCCCAAGCAAGGCAATCCCGTGGGAACCAGATTTGCGCAGAACTTCACGGGAACCACGATCATTTAATCTTTCACTGCCTGGGAACTACAACATTTCAACTACATCCAACGTCGCCGACTTAGCACCATACTTTGAAGAGCCTAAAACTTTGACAAACGAGGTCGAAGCTTCTCCAACCCCGGGAGATTAATGTGGAAGCTGTATGCACCCCCAAGCAGGGCAATCCCGTGGGAACCAGATTTGCACAGAACTTCACGGGAGCCACGATCATTTGGTCTCTCGTGGTCACACACAAAGGCGGGAGGGGGGCCAATCTTTCGCGACCCAGGAGGTCCTCTCGCGAGTTTTCTGCACAATCTTCTTCTGAGTGTTTCTTTTCTTTGAATTTTTCTTGTCTTTTCCAACCCTTTTCTTTTGTGTAGAAGTGGGAGGCTATAAATAGTAGTCCCCTATAGGTGTGGGAGGCGATTTTAATAAGAGTTGACTTCTAATCTTCAGTGTGGAGTCTCTTCCCTCTTTTTAGGGATGTAACCGACGACAAGTGGTGTTTCAGTTATATCCTGCTCTGAGGTGGTGTTGTAAACTTCAAACTCCTTCGCTACTACACATAGATCCCCTTTTCCCTACGACTCCCCTAGCCACCTACCAACCCCACATTCCTTCACCACTCTACCGCCACCCCTACTTCCTCCACGATCTCGTTGTCCAATCCACCTACAACCAACCACACACAAACGACTGCCCACCCTGCCGACGTCGCTATCGCCTTTGAATCCCTTCCTATACTCTAACTAGAAATTCGTCTATTATTGTATTTCTCTTTTGTTTGAGTTGTGTCGTATCACTATTTTTATATAACAAAAATTTATTTATTTTGTATTATGCCACATCCCAACTAGTGCTGGTATCAAATGGTTTAGCGAGATGCTTCAACTCCCATCTTCGTCGAGTACTGCTAGGAAGATTCCTACGATGTGAATCGCCTGGCCACAAGGAGGTTTATTGCAGGTCTCTTTGACCAAGGCTTCTTGTCTCTAAGTTATGAAACATTACACCACAAACTTATTCAATTTTTCTACCTTGATTAATCCCTCAATCAAGCTCCGGAGGTAATGACATAGCTCCAAGTCATGACCATGATTCGGATGGTCGGCATAGTACTTTTGTGAATTGTGCAAGTATCCTCCTGCCTTCATAGGCATCAATTTGCAAAAGTATTTTTTGTTTTAAATGGCCACTATAATCTCTATCATAGAGGCTATCAAAGGAATCATTTGCATTATCAGATGGGTTGGAGATGATGATTTTGCGTTCAAATAATGATCTACTCGTCTTTGTTGATATTGAGTATGCCCCTCCAATGGGCGAATTTTTTCTTTGTGCATAGATAAAGGCTTGTTGTTGTGTTGTGTGCATGGAACCATTCCTTGAAAGGATGAAGTCGTTGCTCCTCAAATCTCGGCCTTATTACTATCGGTCGCAATGAAAGGAGCATTCCTCAGTCAATTTATGGAAATTCTTCTTTGATGGTCATCTCTTCGAATGTTAGGGGTGTTCGAATATCGGCGGAGAGTTATACTCCTTCATTGATATGTGATTATTTGCGAATTCTAGCAACTCGTATAAAATCCATGGGAGTTACAAGCGATTTTTTATCAAAACAGAGATTCTTTTAATCCCTATGCCACGGCGGCATGGGCGATTGCAGATTCTAAGTATCATATTTTTAGCATCCTCGAAGCAAGTCACAAAAACTCACAAGGTCTCTTCAGGTTCTTGATGAACTCATAACAACGTTGTGAACTGTTTTGAGGCTTATGGACGTTGGCAAATAGTGTTACGAACATCCTTTTGAAGTCCATTAATTAGATTAGTGCTTCCAATGATAAGTTGTTAAACCATCTGAAAGTTAATTACTTCAGACATATACGACCCTTCAATGTATCATTAATCCTTAACAAACACAATAGATTTGAATGATGTAATGTGGTCATATACGACCCTTCAGTGTATCATTAAGTTTTTCTATTTGTATGACCCATCTTCTTATTTGTGGCATAATACGTGCTCACAACACCTTTAAAGATGTTGAATCCTATTTTGTCCATAGAATCACATCCAAGGAATAGGGGCGAGTAGAATAGAAGAGGGTGAAGAAGAATGTTATCTAGAATTAATGAGGTTCTACCAGAGATCCCCCTCAATATTTAATTTGCCCTTTATATAGGGGTATTTTCTCCATATAAAATGCACATAGACTATGATTACAGTTAGATCTCTAGGGATATCTAGCTATTTAGATATGTATTTTCCTGCCTCTACAGAATTAAATTATATTATCTTTGATTTACTATCCCCTTGTGATTGTTGCATTTGGATGCCACCCTGTATAGTCACATCATACGTTCAATTGCCATTCTTCCCTGAAAATTTCCTCCCCAAGTTATGGAGTCGTGGACGACTATCGGATCACAACTCCATGGTTATCTAGCATTCACCAATCTATCCCTCTATGCTCGAGATTCTTCATTCGGTCACTCATGTCCAGCATGCTTGCTTGGCTATTCCTATGCAGTCATTCACACTCAAATGACATGTGTTCGAGTAGGTGTGCATTCCTGCCACCCTTGATTAATTGGACTAGATCTCCTAGCAGGCCTCGATTAGGAAAGAGGCCCATTAAGCCGATCTCTACACCTATTGTTTTGACGCCAACTGTTTTTGGCTATTTAGAAAGAAATGAGGAATTGATGCAATAAATGAGAAGCTTATTTGTTCATGGCATATCCTCATCCTCCTTAAATGAGGGTATTTATAAATTCAAGAATGCTTAATCAGTTTCAAGTTGATTAGCATTTATATGTCATGGGTGACATTAAATGTTATCTCAAGGGAAACATTTAATGCCGCACAAGCTACGGGCAATTCCAGATGTTGCCTCTTAACAAGGTTAACACATCTCCTTTCCCAATTTATGCTTTTCAGAACTTCTTTTATTACATCGGGAAAGAAAATCCTTTTGCAATTGTAAACATAATCAATTGAGCAGTCATCTCCTTCCCTTGCTGAATCATAGATCACCAGTACAATTACAGATTGATCTTAGTTTTGAGACAAATAACAGAACCCACTCCTAATAGAGTACAAATCAGCATACAGAAGCATCTGAGAAGCTAAAACCAGCATCTGACCGAATTAAGGATTACAGCCTAATTAAACCAGAAGAATACATTCATTAAACTATTAAAATACCAAAGGGGCAACATTTAACGACTAAGTTTGAAATCAAAAAAAGATTCAAAGGGCTTTCTGAACACTTTAAAACTTACAAAATTGAACAGAAACAGACATAAGCCAACAAACCGATTCAACGTCGGAAAACAGTGGTCGATGCCATAATTGACTGCGCCGGGCAAGGGAGCTGCCATGGCTTGAGGAGCGGATCAGGGATCTCCATTACCATGCTGCTCGAAGCCTCTAGAAACCCAAGCAGCGAGTTCATGGACCGAAGCCTCTCCGTAAGCTCCATCACTTGGGCCCTCATAACACTGTTCTCGGCCTCAACCCTAGCGGACCACTCGCTCCTCAACTTCACCTGCGCCAAGATCTGGCTATTCTCCTCCCGTAGGTTACCCACCTGACTCACGAGATCATTCAAATGGTTCTGCTTTCTAATCCGAGACCTCCTCGCTGATTCACGGTTTGAGAGCATCCGTTTCCGCTTCTTCTCATCAAAATCGAGCCGCCTTTCTTCCTCCGTCGACATCTAAAAGTTTGCGAAACGATCGTGTATATGACTAGGGTTAGGTCAGCAGATCACATAGAAGAAGTACAGGAATACAACGGAGAAGGATTGAAGAAGGTGGATTCTGCGGAAGAAAGAGTTAGAGTTCATGAATGCCGGAGATGGGTTGTTATTGGAACTATCAAGAAATCGAAGAGATTGCCGAAGAAGGGGTCTTGGAACAACAGGATTTTCCTCGTATTGGAAAACGCAAACAAATTCGATCCAAGAACCAATCAACGAAATGGCAGAGGAGACGGTGAGGGAGTGGGAAAGCAATAGTGGGGGAGTTGGAAAGAGGGGAGAGGAGGTGTATTTATGGAAGGCGGGAGGCCATGGAGAGCTTAAAGAGGATGGAAGAAGAGAGGAAGAAGGCGACAAAAAGTGGAGAGGGCTATTGGGGAATGGAGATGAATCGCCAGCGGAGACGAGAGCGGTGGGATGAGCTGGTAGCGGACGGCTCCGGGATTCTAAAGTGTTCCGCGCAATAGACCGGCGGCGGTTGGAGCCACATGTCAAATTTTTTGCCACGCGTCCTTGAATTGTTGGTGAGTATTTTCTGATGTTTTTATTTTAGTGACAACTTGATCCCTTTTTTTTTCAATAAAAAATAAAATATATTTTATATTTTTGATTATCGAATTTTAGGACATTTAAATAAATTTCACGATTGTGATATGTTTAGGCAGCTTCACATGTATTTTTATTTAATGAATGCACGATTTTACTTGACCATAATAATATCTGAAGTTAGAGGAAGGGAGGCCTTAAATTTGAGGATGGATATAAATATATATGTGATGTATGTTTCAGGGTCTACTTGCGACAGCTACTGTGCAGCTGCTGCTTATTAAACAACTATTGTGAAGCAGTTGTGGTAAGAGTCTATTGTATAAAAACTAATGCAGAGAAGTTAATTTTCTGTTTGTTTTTTTGTAGTTTTGGAACAACGGTGTTGTAGCTTTTTCTGAACAAATGACATATATGCATATGTATTATAGTATTGATTTTAATAGCTCTAATCATGTTATCACATTTCATACTTGAAAACAAATATCTAGTTTGAATATTACAAAAAAAACATACACCTCACAAAACTGTAAGTAGAAGAGCAATAACAATTAAGAAAGATTATTAAAATAATAATTAATAATATTATAATATTATTTCTAAAATGCAATTGGTTTATGTCATGAGATAAGTCGGTCTCTAAGGAAACTCGTCGCGTCTTATCACTATCGGTGATGGATTCCTCCAACCCATCGGCCAACCTAAAGAAGTCGCAACTTTTTGTTCTTCTCCTTGAACACCTAAAAAACTATCTCCCGTAGCTATATGGTTGTCATGAAGTAAGCAGAGAATATTGTAGTCCATAGCAACAGTACAATGCTCTAGAGGTACTGGAAGTCCTCGAGCTCATCTTTTCTGAAGGTTTAAAATAACACAACACAAAATCTTATATGCAACATTAGTGAAAATGAAATAGAGTAATCAATTCAAGTTGTAAGAAATTGTGAGGTCTCGGAGAACATAGTTTGAACCAGCAAATCTGTCACTACAAGAAGACACCGGACCTTATAAAAAAAGAGTTTTTGGTTGCCTTGAAACCACATAATACCAAGCTCGTATGTGTCATATATGCATATCACAAAAAAAAAAAATCATCCAGAAGAACCTCAAAAGCCATAGGACTGAAAAATGAGAGGAACTCGGTTGTCTTTATTAAGATTTCACATGTTTCAAAAAGTAATAACAACATATAGACAATAAAAAAAAACCCCTTAATGTCGAATATCTCATAATAAACATTCAAAACCAAAAAATAAAACATCCAATAGTTAGATTACATATTATATCCACGATTGTCTCATCGACCATCCAAGTGGGAAAGAATACACGCATAAAAACTATAAATAAATTTGAGATTCAAAATATACACCTTTTGCATAAAAACATCGATATGAAAAATCATAAATATTTTCACAACAAATTGCAAATAAAGTAGCAACAAAAAAACAGTCAATCCCTCCATTCACCCTCTAAATATGACATATAATTAACTCTTTTAACTCTATCATCTCATATACACCTTCCCCATCCTAGGTACAACTCTCGAGAAAATCACTTTCAGTCTGTGATAAAGATTGTCCCAAGTGATATTCATATGCTTCAATGGGGACATGTAAATGATCTTCATCAGCTCTATTGAAGTCAATGTCATTGCACGAAGGATGTGCAGAATATAGTTGTGGAGAACTATTGTGCGACCATGATCTGCACTTGTTCAGGAAATGGATATGAACTTGGGTTGGCTTTGATTCAATCGAGACCTAAGTGAACCCACAGTTGGACCCGATCCAATTGAGATCGAGTCTAAGTCATAGTCAGATTTGATTTAGCTCTTGTCTAACCTAAAACTCATAATAGGTCCAGAATAAATTAGATTTGGTTCAAAGCCTAAACCTTAGTTCCAACCCAAATTTGACCTAACATAAACTTTAGGTCTAACTCATCTTAGATCTAAACCAAACTCTTTAGGTTTAACTTATCTTAGGCCTAACCCTAATCTTAGGTCAGACCCACATTGAACCTAACCAACCCTTTAAGTCTAATTCATTTTAGACCTAAACCTAAACTTAAACCCTAGGTCCAACCCAAATTGGGCATTACCTAAATCTTATGTCTGACTAACATTACACCTATACCTGAACCGCAAGTCCAACCCAAATTTGACCTAACCTAAATATTAGGTCTAACTAACATTAGACCTAAACCTAAACTTCAGGTCCAACCCAATTTGGATCTAACATAAACCTTAGGTGTAACTAACATTTGACTTAAACCTAAACTTCAGGTCTAGCCCACCTTGGACCTAACCTAAACCTTAGGTCTAAATAACATTAAACATAAAACTAAGCCCCATGTCCAACCCAAATTGGAACTAACCTAAGCCTTAGTTCAAACTAACATTAGACCTAAACCTAAACTTCAACTCCAACCCAAATTGTATCTAACATAAACCTTAGGTCTAACTAACATTAGACCTGAACCTAAACTTTAGGTCCAACCTAAATTGAACCTAACATAAACCTTAGGTCTAACTAACATTTGACCTAAATCTAAATTTCTGGTCCAACCCAAATGGATTTAACCTAAACCTTAGGTTTAACTAACATGAGACCTAAACCTAAACTGCAGGTCCAACCTAAATTAGACCGAACATAAGCCTTTGGTCTAACTAACATTAAACTTAAACCTAAACTTCAGGTCCAACCCAAATTGGACTTTACCTCAATTTAGGTTTAACAAACACTAAACCTAAACCTTAAATCCTAGATAAATCCATAATTGGACTTAACTTCAATCTTATGTTTAAAACATATTAGATCTAAACCTAAATTGAACCCCTTTAAATATAGCATAATCTACACCTAATCTAAGTCTAACCAAACTTAGACTTAGTTCAAATTGAACCCCCTTAGATCTAGCCCAACATAGATCAATCCTAAGTCAAACCTAATTTAGACTTAGTTCAAGTTGAACTTCTCTTTAGGCCTAACTACAACCCAAAATTTTACTAAGTTTAATTATGCTTAGAGTTAGCTCAAATTTAAACCCTAAATCTTATGTCCAACCAAAATTGGAACTAACCTCATCCCTTTGGTATAACATAACTTAGGCATAACCTATAACTTAAATTCTCTTAAGTCTTACATAGACTCAATTCAAATAAATCACTGGATCAACCCGACTTAACTCAGGTTAACCTAAATTCTACTAAAGCATCGGGCCAATTGACCTAACTTGGGTGAACCCAAATTCAACTAAATCATTAGATCAACCCAACCTAACAAAGGTTTGCCTAAATTCAACAAATCACCGGATTAACCCGACCTAACTCGAGTGAACACAAATTCAACAAAATAATCGAGTTAACATGACCTAACTCGAGCTAACTCATCCCAACTTTCTATATAGATGTAAAATGCGATGTATGTGATTATATGCTTAATTTCTTTAATAGGTATTCTTAATTTGCAAAGTCAAAAAATTGATCCAAAGCAAAAGCAAAGTAAGTTTTCCACTATGAAACAAATAAGAAAACAATTATAATTTTTAAATATGGGATACTACACAAGTATACATATTGTTATCAAGTAATATAGAACTTTTTGATTAAGCCCCAAATATCGAACCCACGGGGAGATTAACAATGTGCACTTTAGAAAACTAGAAAGTTTAGATCACAAAAATCTACTTCGCAAAATATTCTTACTTAAACTTAAAAGGCTATAATAGGAATGAAGGCTAAAATCTCATATTAAAACCTAAAACTATAAATCAAGTTGGGGGCTTTAGCATGTCACTCTAAAGTCCCCTAATTCTACACTCTTGAAAAGTTTATTTCCCTATTTATTTGTACTTAATCCCATGAACTACATTCTCATTCATGAAATCAATATATGATTCTAATCATTTTTTGATTGAGTCAATATCATCTCGGACCTTACATATTCTCACAACAGGTATTAACATCTTAATTGACCAAATTAAGAAGTAAATGAAGTGCAAGGTTTCAAATCATCACAACTTCTTCCAATATTTGAGTCTAATACTTCACACAACATCCTTTAAATACTTAATCACGTATCATTTTAAGGAAAAAGATAAAGATTAAGGAAAAAGATAAAGAAAATCACTCAGAATCCATAGAGAAAACACAACCACACATGAGTTTAAAAGTAGAAATCATGCACACAAATAAGAAATCTAGATTAAAACTAAGTGTAGTCACAAAGATAAACACTTATCTCAAATCCTCCCCACCAAATGTCTTAAAATTCCTTTGAATTATCTTCATTCACTCGCAATACAAACTAACACTCACAATAAAAATAAAGTGGTCGACGACGATTACTTGGAAGGATGATGGCTCTAAAATCTGATGGGTGGTTGACATCTTCTCTTGATGATCCAAGTCTTCTTTAATAAAAATCCAAAAGGTGACTTGGTGTCCCTTCAAAATGTGTCTCCATTCAACAAATCTTCTAGATGTTGCCTCCTCAAAAGCCAATTGAATGAATTTTCGTGTCCATGAGATATTTCTCATGTTTTAACCAAGGGTTGCTTCAAACACCTCTTTAAAAATTCGTCTAAATTCAATGAATCATCAAATAACTACTTCTGGCACTTAAGTGTTGGGTGACTGGTGCTTAGGCCGAGCCCTGGCGCTTAGGCGTCAGTCATGATACTTTTGGCGTTTAAGCGCGGGGTACATCTGGCGCTTAAGCGCCCCAGTTCATTTTTGCACCTTTCTTCATTTTTCCTCCAAATTTGACCCTTTTTTTACTCCTTTTAGCATTTTTCATCCATTTGATTGTACCTGAAAGAAAAACACACAAATACCTTTCATTAAAGCACAATATCTCAAAAATAGGTATAAAAA